GAGGGTGTTGAAGTCTGTACAATAAAAACATTTAGTGTATAAACTCTGGGTATCCGACTGTGAAATAGAAACAGGAGACAAAGAAAAGCTAACGTGTTACACCAACCAGCCCTTCCCGCACGTCTATCGTTTTGGATTTACTTTAAAGTTCTTTCCTTTAAGTTTACTGAAGTTAATTTACGTTAGGGCTACCCCCGGTGCTCTTTGGCACCCGACTATGTTCATCTACAAATCGCCCAACAAGGTACAGTAAACCACTTTGGATATTGCATGAAATCTTTTTTCTTTAATCATTTGCTTATTTTAAAATGTATAGATTCACAATCCATCAGATGGACTCAATTCAGCGGAGATATTTTGGACATTGTGCAAACAAGACGATTCTAGCTAAAAGCATCCAGGACGCTTTTTTTTTTTAGCCGTATAGCAGAGATGTCACTTCTCATCATACTGGTATTTACATGTAACTATTACACATGTATTAATTAAACTACACTAGAAGTTCTCAACAAAAAAAAGGACAAATGGATTTTTTTTTCGTGCATTAAGTGCAACTCCGTAACTGCATTCCACGTTCACCATAAAGCAGCTAAACTATGTGAAGCGGATCTGATATTTCAATATTTCGTTTTACGTAGCGGTTACACGAACATCTCGATGTGATTTGTGATCCGTTCGATCGGAGGAAACAGACGCCTGAGAGAGTCCGCCCGGGAATGAGAGGGGCGGCCCCGCGAGGATCATGGAATGAAATCTACGGCGTTAGAAATTTAGCGTCAGTCGTCTCCAGGCTGTCGTGGTGGGATCTCTAGGTCAGAAGTGGAGTACTGTACCTCTCTGAGGGCTCTACATATTACATTCCGTTAGGTGATATCAGTATTGTGGCATGGCCAAGCAGCCTGAAGAGGGAGGCGTATGGGGTGGGGAGGGAGGCGTATGGGGTGGGGGAGAACGGGGGCATCAATTGGGTCAGGGGGAGGCTCGGTTTAGGCATGAAGGAGTCGGTGTTACCAGATGGTATAACCTCCATTGGAACCCCCCAGGAAGAAGTTGTTCTTGCGCTGTGCCATTACCACGTTGGCCCCCTGCATGGCGGCCAGCTGAGCCGCGTTGGGGGGGTGTCCAGGAGGGGGGGGCTG